AAAAAAAAAAAAAAAAAGATATATCTATATATCTGTATCTATAGCGATAGATATAGATACAGATATATAGATATATAGATATTTGTAATATAATATATATTACTTTGTACAAGATAAGCCACACACTGCATGCTTCATAAATTGTAGCTCTTGATTTGATGTGATGACAATTTTCCATTATAGTACTTCAAGAAGTAAATGTTAATTGTAGTCAAAGTTCCTGGAAGAATGCTCATCCAATACACTGATATATCCTAAATGGTTTTTTATTTGCTTAAATTTTTAAAATCATTTCCTTTATTTGTGGAACATGCTTTCAACACATAATGAATACATACAACATCAATAATCAACAGTTGACCTTTATTGGACATTTAGATGTAAGGACATTTCATTTATTCTGAAAGGAGCAGCAGTCAAGTGGCCTGCTGAAGTTCTGAGTGTCCCTAACATGCCCTGTTCATGTTCCTCATCTGTATGTACTGTTTGTCCCTATTATGTTTTGACTGAGTAGCAACTACGTATTTGTACTGCTTAAATCTTGACTCCTTAGGTCCCCATGTTAGCTTAAACCCCCTTTGGCCTGACCGTGCACCATATGAGCCCTGGGTGGATTTTCCTTCAGCCTCTTTATTTACAAAATGACATTTCAGCAGAGTGATGCACATCTTCATTGCCTGGCCACCAGAAAAGCAAACTAAAGAGGCTGCTGGACCAGAGAAATTTCTTTGGCTCAAATTAGATTTTGTGCAGCCAATGAGCAAAACTGACAGTGTGGTGACTGATTTTAAATCCGTCTATACAATATTCCCTGTTTTCTGTTGCCCCCTAGACTCTCAAAAAAATCAATGTCATTAGCCATGAAAATGCCTCCAGCAGAGGAGCAGCTTGTAAAAGGACGGTGACAGCAGGATGTACATAAAATGCCTTATGAAAAGCAGGCTCCTCAAAACAGAGGGCTTCCCCTGGGAAATTAGGGCTGGCAAGTTCAGGAGCTCACTCCATATGCCTCCTCTGCCATCATCAGCCACAGCCACCTGTGACAAAATGGCCCCACCTCCCAGTGTGCCTCAGGGCTAGGCTTTCCCCTGCTGTTTACTTCTTTTTTCATGTCTCCTCACTTGTAACCTCATTTTTGCTGGCTTCTTGTTTGTTTAATTATTCATTTGATAAACATGCCCTTAACATTATGTGAGACCACACTCTCTCCGCTTCTCAAAATAACTTTCCCAGTCCACCTGCATCACATTCCTGCAGGCTAAGGATTAAAATGCATATTCCTGGGCCCCCTCTCTGCTCTAGGGAATGGAATTCTGTCACATATGGAGCTCAGGGACTTGAATTTGTTATGTCCTCTGGCAGTACTGTGAGGCACAGACTAGAGTGCAAATAATTCACATGGAACCCTCCAGCCATGGAATTTATTTTGCTCTGTGTACCTGACATCTATAGCAGAACTCCCTCCTAGCATCAATTCCCACACCCCACCCACTCCCCCATGTCATTTATTGGGACAAGTTAGTCCCAGCCACTTTAATAAACACCCCCTCCCAAAAGTTCTGTGGCTTTTAACACAGTAATGGGTTATTTCTCAATCACACAACATTTCAGTGCAGGGTAACCATTCCTGCAGCCTTTCTCAAAGTGGTCATTCAGAGCCTGGACATCTTTAATCTCGGGACTATACTGTTTTAGATGTGTAAAACCCTTAGTGTCCTCCAGGGGTCTCCTTCATCCCCTTTCTTCTTTGCCAGAAGGAAAAGAAGATAGAGGACCGCGGAGGAAGTTTTTAGGAACCTAGCCTGGATGTGGGCTGTTACACTTGTGTTTACATTCTACTTGCTACACTGTGTCACATGGCCACAATGAACTTCAAAGAATGCTGCAAATAGTCTAGCATATTCCCAGAGAGCAGAAGTTTTATTTTGCAATATTGAAAATAATAAACCAACTCAAGAACCATTGTACTTTAATTCTGAAAGTAATAGATTCAGAGTTACTAGGTAACAAAACTGTGCTATATCTTTCTTGCTTTGGGAAGATTAGGATACTTTTTCCTTGATTATGTTGCATCTGTTTGCATTAGAGAGCAGAAGTTTTAAAGAAAGTTGTCAGTCTATACCTCATCCATTTCATTCAAAAAAACTTTCTTCAACACCAGATGATAGTGGCGCATAAGCCTGCAGACTGGAAGGAGATATTTAAAGACTTAAGAGCTTCACTTAATGGGTTACAACTGTTGATGTTTGTATGATCATTTCCAGAAAAGAGAAATCCATTCTCTCTCTACTGTAACCCCCTTCAAGGTCTTCAACCATTTTGTGCCCTAAAGGTGAACTGCTGCCCTATTGTGATACTCAAGACCAGAAATCTCAGGTGTCCTCCCGATGGCTTTAAAAATTGCAAACTAAAAGTCTGACTATGGTTAATTCATATTCTGGGACAAAATCTTATTGACAAAAGTATTTGGGTGAAGCTTGGTCACTCTGAAAGTGTGTAGTCCAGAGTCCACCGCACTGAAGGAGAACCTACAGTAAACCCAAAGCCTGGAGTGTGGAGGGCTGTGATCAAATGAGCAGAAACAGTAACTCAAAAGAGTCCAAATTCATTATTTCAATCCTTTCACTCTGTGGCTGGAAAAGAATTAGCAGAAAAGAGAGGTATTGAAGCTCAAAGGTAAAAAGGGGAAGTTTGCCCTTTATGACTTCTGATAATAAGATGAGCAGTTCGAAACAATGAGAAAGGTAACAGGATGTTGCTGTTTGATGATATTACAAACTGGTGTCTTCTGGAAAGAGTCTGTATATATTTTTACTGGACCCAAAAAGTGTTATAGCTCAATTTTGGCAAAAAACAGGGAGTAAATGGGCTTTATTTAAATCCCAGCTGCAGTGCACATGTGTACAGATTAACAAACCATGCTCCACAGCTACGAATTTGCCAGAAATGCAGAAACAGCAAAATATAATTAAATCCCCAGCTACACACAAATCAGCATTGCCAGCTACTTGATTTCTTGGTCAGTCTCTGGTTCAAGACCTAATACTCTTTGACCTTAAAGGTACATGAACAAAGAAAGTGTTCCTTCACCTTCCTCTATGATAATACCTTACATTTGCAAAGAATACTACTGCTTATATAACATTCTCAGTTAATTTAACAGGATAGTTATAGATATGAAATAGAAAATGTCTGAAGCAAAATTCTATCTCTTTCATCGTCTTTATCATCACCAGCATCAAAATCATCCTCAATGTCTTCATTTCACACATATATTGATCCTTGTTCACCTTTGCTAGAAATGTCTGCTTCGTATTCCTCACTAGACTTTCAAAATTATATCCATATTTCAAATTTCATTAAAGCATTATGAAATACTTTAACTTAATTATCTCACAGAGCATTTGATATTATATGGTTACTTGCCGATTTCTGTATAAGCCTCTTTATTTCCTCTATTGTAATAAAATGATTGTTATTTACATAGATGGATGAATGCTTGGATAGGTGGATGGTGGACGGATGGATGGGTAAATGGGTGAATGGGATGGATGGAAAGAAGAAACAGAACTGTAAATATGTAAAAAGCTAGGTAGCATGATATTACGGTTAAATATTTGGGCTGTGGAGCTGCATAGGGTTCAAGTTTCAGCTCTGCCACTTGCTATGTGAGCTCTGTTAAGTTATTCAACCACTTAGTCTTAATTTCCTCGTTTGTATACAGCACTAGCAATAACCTCTTCTACTTGAATTAATTCATGCAAAGTGATCCATGTGATAATCATTTGATAAATATTAGCTACTTCTATTTTGATAGAGTTTAAAACAAAACCCGCATACTTGTTTTGTCTCGTGCACTAGTCTGTAATCATTGTGAGGATTCACTTGTGCTTTGTGCATCTTTCAATCATACCTACTAAGCTATGAGTCCCTCGAAGTAGTGACTATGTTGTTTGCCTTTTGTAGCTAGAACAGTGTCTTATAAAGAGAAGAAACTTAATCACTGTGTTTTTAAAAATATGAATGAATTACTATGTGTTAGATTTAACTCATAGCAAATCTAAAGAGTATGAAAAGTAAATAAAAACTGCCACCATTACCAACTTTCCTCAATTTTCTTCCTTAGGATCAACACTAAGAATCAAATACTAAGAAATATCCTTATTAAAATTTTCTGTTTTTATTCAAAGAAAAATAATAATAGGTTAATATTAATGAAGAATTAATTATCTTATTCTACCTCAAAGAAGAGTTTCTTTGAAATAGTAGATAAATCATCCTGGGTAGGACTTTGGAGGAGTAGAGACACTTGGAGCTGGTGCTATTTTCATGGAGCATTATCACAATGTTAAGATTTGCAGAAGGAAAAATTCTAAATCTGGCTCTAGTACAGACTACTGCTGTGTCTTCTGAAAAAGCATTCGATCTTTTACTGGTCAGTGGGCAGATGTTCAGTGGTCTCCTGGAGTTGCTCACCAGCCCCCTCCATCTGGATAGTTGAACGCTGTTGCTAAGAGATGAAACTTGGATGTTTGGCTTTAATAGGATGATGTTCTTTTGAATACCAGAGCTACTAAAAGTCAAGAAGGGATGTCTTGATTAAATTCTTTAAAAATCAGTGCTTAGGGCAGCGCTGTGACACCAGAAAGCATGAATAAGTACATATAATGGGAAAAGGAAAGACACAAAACCAATCTCAGGGTATTTTATCAAAGTCACTACTGGAAGTTCCATTTTACCAGAGAAGCAGAAAAAATGACCACCCTAAAAACAAAATATTTGAGTATATATTTGCTCCCTTACTCCACTGTGAGCATCGTTCCTGGATGTACTTCCCTCATGGCTCTGGTCCGTGGTCAGACAAGTGCCTAGTATGCTTCCAAGGTTATCAGAAGAGATCTCGGAGTGAGATGCAGAAAGGTGTGTGCTTGAGGTTGGTCTTGCAAGTGCAATCTGAGTCTAGATTTGCAAGGAGCTGTCCATCTCGCCTGCGACTGAGATCAGAGGCAGGCTGAGGAGGTACGATGCAGGTACCAAAGGCATCTTCCTTAAAGGTTCAGCCAAGAGCTTCTCCCAAACTTCACTGCTGGCTTCTTCTTAAAAGAGTGATCACCTTCGTGTCTGTATTCATCTCGTTTTCAACTCGCCATGATCAAATTTCAAACTCAATGAAGCTGAGTTGCTGTTTGATTATTGTATTGGTACAAGAAAAATCAGATGATCGCTTCTTAGTTCTTAGAGAGAGAGAAAGGACAAAAATCTGAAGGACCTTTTGCTGATTTCATACTTTGAAGGATTCATTTCTTGAAATTTTTCGGGGGGAGGATGTACCAGCTATCGAACTCAGGACCTTGAGCTTTCCAGACAGGTGCAGCACCACTGAACTACATCTCTGGCCCAAGAACTCATTTCTTATTCTCTCTCTCTCTCTCTCTCTCTCTCTATCTCTCTCCCTCCCTCCCTCCCTCCCTTCTTCTCTCCTCAGTCTCACAATTTCTCTTATCTTTTATCAACTACTGACTACTATAGACCTCCTCTTGTTAAGTGCCATATCTCTATCTGACTGCTAATGTTCCAGACATGTTTAACTCCTCAACCTATCCAAAAGACCACTAATTATCCTTCCCAACTACATTACTGCCAAAGAATCTCTTTCCCCCATCAGTTTCATCTGATTTATTCAGGAACTAGAGTCAGGAACTTGGATGTCATCCTAGCCTTCTCCGTCCCCTTCTCACTGAGCACCCAGTTTCCACTCCCCACTGGTATACAAACTCTGTTCAGATCTCATCTACTTTCACGGGATTAATGCCATCATCTTCTAACTAGTCTCTCTACCTCCAGTTGTATTCGTTTCCTCTCATCCACCAGTCCATCACACTATAAAGTAATTTTTCCACCACAGGAAGCAGATCACGGTACTCTTTTGTACATTGCTCTCTAGAAAGTCAGCCTTAGATTTCTAGGCCACTTCAACCACTCAAGCAATCACTATCTTACCTTTTCACATTCAATAATGAAATGTAGGCTGAGTTGGGCTTCTTTCAACATGCAGTGGAGTTTCTGAAGAAAGAAGATGAGGAAAAGAGCAAGTTAAATTAGGCATTTCATGGATTATCAAGCAGTTGTAATAAACAGCTTTATCGACTTACTGAGCTGCAAATAATTCATTACTTTCTTATCATCATACATCCCAGAAAAATGCAATGTTTATGAAGCAGATATAGCACTCATTGTGCAAGTCTGGTAAATAAAAGTCAAAAGTAAGTATTAATTTAGTTTACAGTTTGCAGGAATATCACAATATGCATGGATTATCAAGCAGTTGTAATAAACAGCTTTATCGACTTACTGAGCTGCAAATAATTCATTACTTTCTTATCATCATACCCCCCAGAAAAATGCAATGTTTATGAAGCAGATATAGCACTCATTGTGCAAGTCTGGTAAATAAAAGTCAAAAGTAAGTATTAATTTAGTTTACAGTTTGCAGGAATATCACAATATGGCTGTGTGAACACACACACACACACACACACACACACACACACACACACACACTTCTAAGATGTAAGTGGGTTCTTGACTGCTCTCCCAGCATCCTCTGCTACCCTTCCCCAACATGTTACAATCAGATCAACAAATCTCTTTTTTCTCAGTGGAATATATTATTTCCTACTTCTCAGCCCTGGGGCAGTGCTATCCCCATAAATTAAACTTGCTCTTCTTCCTCTCTCTGCTTGGTGAATTTCTACAAGAAAGCATACTGTTTTTCTGTGCGTCATTACTTCTGTATACATTGTTTATAAACGATTACTTTCTAATGAGTTTGTGCATCTTTCTCTTTCATGAGACTGAGTACTTTTTGAGGGTCAAGATGTCTTATTTAGCCCTGTATTTCTAATGCCAGCATATTGTGCTGTGCATTTTAATAAAGCTGCTCAGTGAATTAAAAATGTTAGGCTTGATTTTTCTCATGCTGCGGTATCATACACTGAGTCGTACAATTGAGCCCAAACACAGTGGCTACTCAGTAAAGGTTTTGATAAAGAGATCAAAAGGATCTTGCTTGCAATTAGAGCCAACCCAATTCTGATGACCATTTGACAGCCAAAAATTTTCAGCGACAACTGTGCTAAGATGCTTCATAAATGGATCGTGTCAATACTAATATAAACAGTTGGTACTCTTAAATGAGGAGAAATTGTTTGAATTACAGTGATTGCCTCATTCCTGTGAATTCCCTCGGCAGCAACACAATCTGTTCACCCAAAAGGGGCTTTTGAAAAGCATCCCACACTGCAAGGCAATGCTTGATATGATGAATAAATTCACTCAAAAGCATCTGTTAGGGTACAGCTTTTGCAGGCTGAAATTATTTAAGAGTAGTAATTGCATGGAAGTACTTTGGTAGCCAGATTCTGTCTGACATTTGAAAACTTCATGGTCTCCCCAAAGAATGTACAACATCAGTAAGGGAAAAAGAGAAGGCAGTCTAGTGCTAACATTTACCAAATGCCGGATATTGGCATGTAGAGCCATTATTTCATTGATGCTGAAGTGCAGCAATTCATTTGCTACTCATGATAACTATTTGAATGTTCTGTTCTGTCTCTTGCCTCTGATATTTGACATACCCTTTATCCTCTTGTAGCAAAATGTTTTTGTTCCTTTAAGATGTTAGTATTATCTCTTCTAAAAGCCCAGCTCAGGCTTCCTCCAGGCACCTTGTTTGTGTTCCCTCAGCATCCTGTATATAACTCCACTGCATTGCCATGCAATTTTCCAAATCATGTCTGTTTCCCTTACTGGACTAGCAGATCCTTGAAAATAGGGTCAATGTCTTTGTATCTCTGGCAACTGAAACAGAAATACCTCCTGATTTGGGGATTGGAAATATTTGTCAAGTGAATTATATGCATCTGCTCTGGGCATTCTTAGCCAGAATGCACATGCTCCTTTTCACAGCTTTTGCTTGCTGTAATGTTTAATTTTATGTGTTAACCTGACTGGACCATAAGGTACACAAACATTTGGCCAAACATTATTTCAGGTGTGCCTATGGAATGTTTCTGGGTGAAATTAGCATTTCAATCAGCAGACTGAATAAAGTAGATCACTCTCCATAATGTGGGTTGGCCTTGTCCAATACTGGAAGGTCTGAATAGAACAAAAAGGCCGAATAAGATGGAATGTCCCCATCTTTCAGCTTGGACATTAGTTCATTCCAGCCTTTAGACTTGAACCAAAACACTGGCACTTCCTGGGTCTTAAACCTGTTGGCCATTGGACTTGAACTTCACTGTTAGCTCTCTCTGACATCTAGATTACTGATTACAGATTTTGGGATTAACCAGCCCTCACAATCACATAAGACAATTCTTTTTTTTTCTTCTTTTGACAATTCTTTATTTTAAAAACAGATCTTTCTGTCTGTCCATCTATCCATCCACCCATTTGTTCATCTTATTAGTTGTGTTACTCCAGAGAATCCTCGCTAATACATATGCCTTTTTATGGGGTTGTATCTTTTAAATTTACCTTGAGTGTTTTACCAGAATAATAAATTATAAATCAAGATCATTATCTAAACAATTCTGCCCCAAATTTCAGAGTGAATAGTGAAAAATCTTTATATAAAGAATGTCAAATACTTGGCTATCTTGGAATCATATTAACTTAAGCATTTATTCTTTTTATGACTCAGACATTTGGACTTACTCTACCAAGGTACTATTTTTCTCCAAAAAATGTGAGAAAATAGGCTTTCATGCTATTCTCAGCAGATCTGAAGAGCTAAAAAATATTATATTGCAAAATGCTACCTTTCTGATCTGTCAAAGAGACATATGATAAATATATAACTATTGTAACATATAATTCTTAATTTTGCAGTAAAATTTACTTTTATTTCATAATACTCAACAGTATAAAATTCCCAGTACTGGTACCATAAGAAGTCAAATAACAGGACCAGGGATTTAGCTCAGTGGTGCTGCTGCCTGCTTAACAAGCGCAAGGACCCGAGTTCAATCCCCAGTACCAAAAAAAAAAAAAAAAAAA